CCGATCCGGCACAACCCCCTCTAGCCTCTGCAAATCTGGCCCCCGGTGAAAGAAAAGAAGGGTCGGAACAAGGAGAAAAGAGTTTTGATAACCCTGCAACAAATCAAAGAATGGACGGAAACGACAAAGCTGAAGGCGGTGGCAGATGTCGAGTTGATGAACAATGAAGAAGCAGATAGGATGGTTGTGGAAGCGAGTGGGATTGTGAGCAATCCGACCGCCCTTGGTTCTTAATTCTCGGTGAACTATTTCCTTTGCGTCGTTTGTGTCCTTGACTGCTTCCAATTTTTGAGTTTTAATGTCTGTCAATCCTATGTCTGATTTTAAAATTTTTGCATAGAATGTTGGGGGAGATGGTGGCAATGCTTTCTCTCGCTCTTTGAAGCTTGCTCTTTAGCTCCACAAACCTGACTTTGTTATTCTCATTGAACCGCAGATTAGTGGCGAGAATGCTAATAGAGTTTGTGAAAGGATGGGGTATCCAGATGTCATCCGGGTCGAAGCAACGGTAGAAGTGGTGGTATCTGGTTCTTTTGGAATGCCAAGAATTTCGATGTTTCTATTGATTCTACAGGGTTCCAGCATATGACCCTCTCGGTCTCAAAGGGAAATAGTCGCCGCTGGAAACTTACTGCCGTTTATGCCTCACCACGGCAGCAGTTGCAGAAACTTCTCTGGAATTCCCTTATAGAGCAAAGTAAAACAATTGACTGCCCCTGGCTCCTGGCTGGTGGCTTCAATGCCATTTTATCACCTCTAGAGACAACAGGTCAAGCGACTCCTAGAGTGTTGCGACGTTGCAGGAGGTTCAACGATTGGCTCAATGAGGCGGAGCTAGTTGACCTTGGTTATTCAGGTTCGAAGCATACTTGGTGCAGGAGTGGTCAAGTGTAGACGTTCAAAACTAGTAGATTGAATAGGAGTCTTTGTAACATCGAGTGGAACGACTCATTCCCGAATACGACAGTGGTTCACTTGGCGATGCTGAGTTCGGACCACAATTCGATCCTAACGACGGTGCCGAGTCAGGGAGTTAGCCACCCTTCCCCAAGACGTTTCAGATTTGAAGCAGCTTGGCTTACTCATTCTGAATTCCATGATTTTCTAAATGATAAGTGGAATGGGCAGATTAATAACTTCCCTCTGGCTTTGCAGGAACTCTCGGATAGCTTGAAAACTTGGAGCAAGCAGGTCTTTGGCAATGTTTTTCAATGCAAAAAGCGGTTGGTGGCAAGAATCGAAGGAATTGAGAGGAAGCTAGCCGTCTCTTTCTATCCTGGTCTGGCCAAACTTCATACCAAGCTTGAAGCGGAACTAGACAGAACCCTGGAACAGGAGGAGCTGTACTGGTATCAAAGGGCTCGGGAAAACTGGTAAAGTTTGGGGAAAGAAGCACAACATACTTCCACCAAATCTCCAACATTCGACGCCGGTTAAACAAGATAGAGTGCCTAAAAAAGGAGAATGGGGAGTGGGTGCAGGATAAACAAGAACTTACTCAGCTTGTTTTTTTATTTTTTCTCTAACCTGTACTTGCAAGAGGATTCTCTCTACACTGATCTCATGCCCAAGGGGGCTTTCCCATGGCTGAGTCAGGAGGATTGGATGTGTTTACTGCGCCCTTTTTCGGTCATGGACATTCATCAGGCTATCTTTGATATGAAACCTATGCAGGCTCCAGGTCCAGATGGTTTTCAAGCGGTTTTCTATCAACAGGAGTGGCGGGTTGTTGGGAAGGCTCTCACGGATATGGCTCTATCCTTTTTTGAGAATGGGAGTTTGCCTGTTGCCATCTCGGAGTCTACTGTTGTGCTCATTCCTAAAGTTGAGAAGCCGGAATTTATTCACCAACTCAGACCCATTTCATTGAATAATGTGAGCTTGAAGGCTATCACTAAGGCGATGACGAGCAGGCTGAAAGTGGTCATGAAGAAGCTTATTTTGCCTCGCCAAAGCAGCTTCATTCCGGGGCGGCAAACTTCGGACAATATCTTCGTCGTTCAAGAAGTGCTGCACTCCCTAAAGAAGAAAAGAGGGAAAAGGGTGGTATGGTGATTAAGATTGACTTGGAGAAGGCTTATGACAGGCTCTGGTGGGATTTCCTGAGAGATACTCAGATAGAAGTTGGCCTTCCTAGCTCTTGGATTCGATGCATAATGTTCTGTGTTGAGCAGAACCACATGAGGATTCTCTGGGATGGTGAGCTAATCCAACCCATCATCCCCACGAGGGGAGTAAAACAGTGAGATCCTCTTTCTCCATATATTTTTGTTCTTTGCATGGAGCGCCTGTCTCACAGGATAGATGAGGTTGTCCGCGATAAGCTTTGGAAACCCCTAAGCATAGCGCAGGGCGGGCCGGGTCTTACTCACCTTTTCTTTGCTGATGATGTGATTCTGTTTGTAGGTGCGGATGGGTCGCAAGTTAGGATCGTCCGCCAATTCCTTGACGAGTTATGGAGAGCTCAGGGCAGAAAGTGAACTACTCCAAGTCCATGATGTACATCTCGCCCAACATCAATCCGCTGCGCGCACAGAGATTGAGCGACAAGGTTGCCATTCCCTGAACTAAGGCGCTGGGACGGTATTTGGGGATCCAAACCATCCTTGGCAGAGTCACTTGGAGTAGATACCAGGAGTTGATTCTGAAGATTCAAAGGAAGCTGGCCCCTGGGAAGGATAAACGACTATCTTTAGCTGCGAGGCTGACAGTTGCTCGATCTGTATCCTTGGCTATCCCTACTTACACCATGCAGACTGAAATGATCCCTGTCAATGTTTGCAATACCATCGACAGGATTAACAAAGACTTCATTTGGGGGAAGGATGAGAACCAGGGAAAGATGCATCTAGTGGCCTGGGAGAAACTTGCAGAACCGAGAACGCAAGGAGGAGGAGAACTCTGGGCGCTTCGACAGGCCAACCTCGCGCTTTTAGCCATAGGAGGATGGCACATTTTGCAAGAAAAAGATACGCTCTGGACTCAAATCATGAGGGCGAAGTATGGAGGAAGGAGAAAAGATCTGAACATTTTCTGGCCTTGTCAGGGAAGTTCTTTTGCTTGGTCAAGCATTAACAAAACAGCTAGCCTGTTGAAACAAGGGTGTGCGTGGAACATTCATAATGGGAAAAGCACTAACTTTTGGTTGGATAATTGGATTTTGCAGGAATCGCTCATTGATGTTGCAAGTCAACCAGTTCCGGTGGAGGAGCGTGCTAAGACAGTGGCCTCCTATATGGATATGGATGGTCGGTGGGATATCACTAACCTCTCCCAGTGGCTCTCGACGGACATTCTCCAGAAGATCACTCCTGTTATGGTTGACCCTCTGTCTCCAGATGCGGACCAAATCTTCTGGAAGGTGTCCGCTGATGGTCTTCTCACGACAAAGACTGCTTACCAATTGAGTCAAGCCGGGCGCTTAGAACAGAATGACCAGATCTGGAAGGACATTTGGAAGCTGCCAATTCCTGAACAGGTCAGATGCTTTGTCTGGTTGGTTTCTCTCAGTCGGATTGCTACCACTTTACGTTTTTTGCAGGAGATGCAGTGACACACAGGCGTGCGACAGGTGTGTAGACACTCCCGAGACGGTGCTCCACGTGCTGCGCGATTTCCTGTCGGCGCGGTTTTGTTGGTCTCGTTGGGTTCCGATCGACAAACAGACGGAGTTCTTTCATAGAGGCCAAGAGGATTAGCTCCGCACCAATCTCAGCAACGAGGATATGATGGAGTCTGGTTTGGTGTGGAATGAGTTCTTCGGCATTGCTATTTGGCTGATCTGGAAGAACAGGTGCACGGCGTGTTTCAAAGGGGCGAGCAAAGCCTTCACAGCTCCGACTTTGGCTCATTCGATACAGAACAAGTCCCTTCTTTGGCACAAGGCGTGGGAGGCTCCCTCCATAAAGCCAGGTCGGTCAATCTTGCAGGGGGACAGGATCACCGAGCAGATCAGATGGCAACCTCCTAGCACAGGTTGGCGTAAGTTAAACAATGATGGAGCCTCAGCTGGGAACCCAGGGACGGCGGGTGCTGGTGGGGTGATCAGGTCAGGGACGAGCAAGGGAGGTGGATTGCTGGCTTTGTGGCTAAGATTGGAGAAGCTGACTGCAGCTTTAGCAGAGCTATGGGCTTTCTACCATGGGCTGAACCTGGCTTGGAAACTTGGATGTGCCACTTGGTGATTGAGTCGAACTCTCAGTTAGCTATCCAGTTGATAAACAACCGGAGGGACCCGGTGCATCCATACGCCTCTTTACTTGATGCCATCAGGAGGAAGTTGGCTCAGAGTTGATTGGTCAGGGTAGTTCATACGTATCGAGGAGGGAATAGAGTCGCGGACTGGCTCTCGAAGCACAGTCTCGTCTCCCTACGGTACGCATGAACTCTCTAATCCGCCGAGGGAGCTTATTCAAATCCTTAGAGATGATGTAATGGGTGTAGCCATTGAGCGCCAAGTGAGGGCACATGTTGCTCTGTAACTCCCTCTTCTTCTTTCGTGGCCTCGGCCTCCCTTATTGCAAAAGAAAAAAAAGAGGGTCATTATTACAAACTAAATGGGCAGAAAGAATACGAGTACACTATATCAGCATAGATGACAATTCAGATTTTAATTCGACTAAACAATTGTATCTCATGAGTCATGAATGATACCACAAATCTAATATCCCATCACTAGGGTGGTTATTTATTTCCGGCGCTATGTATTGAAACTTGGCTAGCGATTTGGTGGATGATAAATGGCTCAATACCCTATTTTGGCCCGAAGTTTGGCGTGAGTGTCAATTTTGGCCCGAATTTTTCAATAAGACAGTTGTGGCAAACTTTTCAAATTAATTGACAAATTTGGCCCAAATTTTTTTTTTTTTGCCGTTTATATTGACGGTCAAACATCTATCCGTGAACGACTCACCAAAATGCTGCTGACGTGGCCGATGCATGGGTGCCATGTCATTATTTTTTAATTCAATTAAAATAAAAGTTAAAAAAAAACTTACCAAATAAAAAAAAACCTCTTATTGTCTCAAAATCCATGGCTTAAGGAATAATTTAAAAAATAACAATAAAAAACTTTTACATTTTTCCGGCAACCACCACCATTCTTCCTCTACCGCTTCCAGCGACCAACTACAATAAAAAAATTTATTAAGTCAATTTTTCCCTTATCGTCTTCGTTCCTCTTCCACCCGAGCTAATTTCAATCTTCAATCCCCCAATCCTGACCTTCAAAATTCTGCCCGGTGTCACCTGAATAGTAGTCGAGCAGAAGCAGGGAAAGCAATCGTTGACCAACAGCTGGAGGTGAGGGTAAGGGCGATGATTTCGGGGGGAGAGAATCAAAATCGGCAATCTGATGGGATAAAGATGGAGCGGGGGATGGCAGGCGGAGAAGAAAAGTAACCTGTTGATCTTCAAGGCTGACGCAGACGGCTAAATCATCAATCCCATCGACATCCCTCACCAGAACGTCGTCTTGATCGTGGGAGTCAAGCGATGACATCTTTAGCCGGGAAACGACCCCCTCTTCTGCATTTTCTTACCCAATCAAAGCCCCAAATTCAAACCCTAATCTAAATCAACAACCATAGTGAAAATCAAAACGAAGGCGCCGGCGAGAAACAAAGGTCATTGACGCAGCGGCGATAGAGGTGACAGATCGAGGGTTGAGTTTTGGGAAGAAGGGTGGAGCTCGAGGAAGTATTAGATCCATTAGGGTTCGGTCAAGTTCTCGGACACAAACCACGAGCGATCTAGCGTGGCGGCGGGAGAAGCGAAAGAGGAGCCATTATCGCTGTTGTAGTGGACCGGATCCTGCGTATGGAACGATGAAGAAGATGAACGGGCGGTAGAGAGGAAGAAGATGACGGGTGGAGGGGGCGCAGGGATGGTTGGGGTTTGGGATTGAAAGGGGGTAGAGAGTTTATGTGGGCCCATTCATATTTTTTATTTGTGAAATTTTGAGAAATAAATATAAAATTGAAAAATAATATTAGTTGATGTGGATGCCACCTCAGCACTGAATGATGAGTCACTAACGGATAGATGTTTGACTGTTAATAATAACAGTCAAAGAAAATTTCGGGTCAAATCTGTACATTAATTTGAAAAATTGGCCATAGTTGTCTTATTGAAAAGTTCTGGCCAAAATTAACACTTACACCAAACTTCAAGTCAAAATGATGATGTATTAAGCCATCATAAATTGATAATTGAATGTAACATTGAATGATAAAAACAAAAGTAATTAACATTTTGACTTCCAATTCTATTGATGTATCCAACGTTGACATTGGAAACTGGAGCCTATTTAGTTCTCTTTGAAATTCCATTGTCCATTCCATTAATTAGATATGAAGTACCGAGAGACCTTACACCTATTTTTACAGAAAAATGTCTCAACCTTATTAATAAAAATTAAAAAAAAAACACGTTTTAACCTTAAAATTGAAAAGTAAAAGTAGGATTCAAATGATTCCGAATTACCTGGTATAGTAAATGGGTATTTATGTACACATACATATTTAGCAAGTTTGAATTCAGTTCAGTAAAATGAATCACCATCTCATTTGTATCCAATCCTTCTTGGATAAGACTATCCATCCCATAAGAAACTTTCCATCAACATTTCACAAAGTGATTATCATGATCATAGATCTCTCTCCATCTTTCATTCCCTTTGAACAAAAAAGAAACCAACCATAAGAAACTCTCCCTTGATTCAACACCTTCTTTTTCTCCCCTTTCCATTCCACCTAAACATGGATTATTATCCCATGAACACAATTACATTTCCAGCCATAATCCTAACCCTAGCCCTAATCATCTCCCTCTTCCACCTCTCCACTTCCCAAACCCAAAACCTCGTCCAAGACATCTGCCAGCAAGCCGCCCAGTTCCCTCCGACAAAATCCGAGGAATGCTTAGCCACGTTCGCCTCCAACAACCTCGGCTCGCCGCCGTCCGCCGATCTCAACGGTCTGGCCCAGATCACCCTGAAATCCGGCATCGCCAATGCCACGGAGGCGCGCAAATACGTCGAGGGCCTCGTGGCGGGTCCCGATGTAGGCCCCGTATTGAAGGAGGCCCTCATGAACTGCTCGTCGTGGTTCTCGGCCGCGGTGGACTCGTTCAACAGCGCGCTGATGGAGCTCGACGAGGATCTGCAGTCGGCCAATTACGACGCGAAGATCGCCGGCGACGACGCGAGGAACTGCCGCGGGATGATGGCGGCCGGGAAGGTGTCGGAGCCGTCGGTGGAGGTTAGGGTTGGGTACGTGGTTTTGTATAGTAATATTGCGGATGCTATTACGGACAGCCTGTATAAGAAGTCTCTGAATTTGTAAGAAATGGGTAATTATTATGTACGTACCAGGCAATGATATGAAATAAAATAAACATCCATGCATATATATATTCTCGTTATTGTTACAATTCTTATCAATCCAGGCGGGAGATTTGTAGCTATCTCAACAACGAGAGGATCAAATTGGTGAGTGTTCGAAATGGGATTCCCGACTTACTTGCCGGCGGCGAGCCTCTCTGCCATCGCTCCATATCACCGACGTAGAACGACTGACTGACACAGGCCGTTCAACTTCGAGGAGATTTGCAAGAAATCAGAAGACACTAAATTGAATAAATGCATTAATTCGTAAAATCCCAACCTCTAAAGGACACATAAGTCTTAGCGTAATTGTAGTTACAGTCTTACAGAAGCTTCATACCAAATACGTAAAACAAAATAGTATCTTTTTAATTTGTTTAGTTATCATTATATCCCATTTTATTGACTTGGCTATCTCATAATAGCTATAATTTCCCTTGTTTTATGGTAAATTGGATTTTTTTTTTTTTTTAGAATTTAATTCATTTTCCTTACTTTTGTTTTGTGGGTTTGAACGATTTTAATCCCCTTAAATCACCTACCTAAATCGTTTAGGTGAATATTGCATTTGAAACGTTTTGAAATTATTACCTTCCTAATTGTATTTACAAATTTTATAATTTTCTTAGATAGTTCTTTTTTTGAAATCTTCTTAGATAGTTTTTTTAATCATTTAATTCTCCTACGGGAATTTCAGATTAATTTTATTTTTTCGTTGACCTTTTGGATTAATTTTAATTGTACATATTTTCTTTTTTTAAAATAATTATCTCACATGAGATGAATAACACCTCTGGTGTTATATTTTTGATAATTTTGATTGTCTAAAAAATAGTCATCTTTAATCTCTTGAAATAGAGATTTCTTACACTATATTGGGTGCTATTTATGCAGAGGAACATAATCCGTTCCAATTGTTTTTTGAAGTTTCACCAATCACCATCCGCCACATCAGTGCTTCTTTTTTCTCATGGAAAGTCTTTAATTTCTTTCTACCCTCCTAATTTTTAACGGACGATTTCTCACTCGTTTTAAGTTCGAATTTAATTTTTATGCACACTTAGATTTGATTAATTGTGCTCTTCAAAATCACTTTGATATATTTTTGGAACAAAAAAAATTGAGTCATTTTTTACCCGTATATACCATATGGTATTGACTGGCATTAAATAAGAGCATACATATGCTATGAAAAAGCTTACCATGGTGGTATTAACATACTAAGACTGTAGGATGATTGAATACATGATAGTAGGAGTCTACTAACTGTCATTACGACTTTCAACATTGTGTACCACAAGATACCACCCCATAGCAGGGTGGTATTTGGTGGTATTTTTTGGTTCTGTATTTTGTTCACCCAGAAATTTATAGATCCAATAGATCATGATAAAATCGTTCATTTTGTACAAAAAAATTCATAAACGACTTAAAAACGAAGAAGATATCATATGGTATACAGTTGGTAGCGAGAAACAAGAAATTGTTTTCTAAAAAAATATTGAACTCATTTTGTAGAGCACAACGAACACGTTCTATCTGTGCATAAAAAAAGGGAAAATCCGAGTTAAAACGATGAAAATATGAGCCGATTAAGAAAACAAGAAAAAATAAAAATGTTTTTAATTCTCCACACTTATATCTAAATTTTCTAGGACCACCTAAATCTTATGGCTGAGATTGGGTTACTGACCGTATCTGGAGCCCTATGAGGCGGTATCTAATACATTATTTTTTTGTGGCATTCTGTGACAACTCCCAATTTGTCATTAAGACATGCTCCATCAAAGGATTATTATAACAAGGTGTATCTCGGCAGAAATCATATTGTTTACATACTTTGAGTTTGAATCAAATCTTTTATAGAGATACTCATGTAGTGGCAAGATAAGACTCTTTCATTGGTAGTGTGGTTGCATACGGAGTATCACGTTTGTTTCGAGTTTGTTCTATAATTTATTTGCTTTGTCATAGTCTTCTTGACATGGTTGTCATTAATATCTAAGTAACAACTTCCCACATCAGCCCATCTGTTAGGTTTGTAACCGGACGACAATTCCAGCGATGACAGTTCTTCTTTTTCCCCATTATGGCCGACTATGGAGAGTTTTGTACGGTGGATTAAAACACTTCCCACATCAGCCCATCTGTTAGGTTTGTAACCGGTTTGCCGACTCGCCAGACACATCGTCGCCTTTACTGTCGAGTTTAGGAATACGAGTTGCATACTGATAACCGATTATCCAGTATACCGGCTAAAATTCAGCATCAGTATTCAGCGACCCCAACATCAATGCTCGATATATCGAAATTGGATAATCGGTAACCGGTATACCGGATACTGACCGAATACCAGTCCGAGTCAAATCTAGTATGGACACAACAGTTATGCTCCCCATAGTTGTATGCACTCTTTTATTTTTAGCATTGCAAGAGGTAAGAGGCTAAGAACATCCACATCAATACAATTGTCACAACATTTGTATTTGTACTCTTTATTGTCATCACAATTTTATTTTACAATAACATGTTAACTTTTTTGCAATCCAACTAATATTACTTTCTCTAGTAAAAACTAATATTAATTTCATTCACACACATCAATTCAATTAACTTGCAATTGCATATGTGGCTCAGCTTATTTTTATAGTAAAAATAAAAAATTTACATATTTATTCATTTGTCCATAAATAAAATTATAAATCCATAGACAATTCTCAAGCACAAGCTCGATGAATAAAGGAAATTTCTATTCAATAATAATCTTCTTCAGAAACTTACCTAAAGGAAATAAAACTAATCAAAACTCGAAAAGGAAAATAATTCTAAACAAAAAAGGTAACAACACCCCGTCAACCCCGATCCTCGGGTCAGGTCTTCAAATCCTGGTTAGGGAACATGTTCTTGGCCCCGGGGGGAAACCCCTTGTTTGAATCTCCGGGGTGCCCCAAAAAATACCCTGGCGGGCAATTGCCTCTTTAACCCGGGGAATCCTTCCTGACCGAATTCCCGGGTGCTTGATAACAACTAAAATAGGCGTTATTTAGCCTTATTCTCAAGACATTTGCATGCTAATTCACCGTGTCTAGGCCACATATCAAGTTATTTATGTCCATATTCGTTCCTATTTGCAAAACATGCATTTTGGCATAAGTATTTATGATATGAAGGTTTTCATAAGGTAACCGACCCCAATTTGTGGTATTTTATGATTTTCCAAGTATTTGTGATGAAATTCCAGGTCTTATATTCATTTGGGTTCGATCAAAAATAGATTGGAGTTCATCCGAGCACGATTGGGAAGCATAGGAGCAAGAAGGGGGAAAAAAGCATTGGTCATGCCCACAAGTCACTACCATTGACCAGGTCATGACGATGATTTGGGCTTGTAATCGTGGCCACGATCTCTAGCAGGAGACCAATAAGAAGGCAGAGAGTTTCCTCACCCGGATCGCGGTCATGGTGCATTTTGGCCGTGATAAAG